GGCAAATTTTGTCTGTCATAAGCGGTAAAATTCCTTCAAATGACGGAAAGATGGACACTAGCTAGAACACTGCAGTAAACCGACCTCATCCAGACAGAAGTTACGGATGATGTTCACGGCTCCGTCAGTGATGTAGGGAGCGCCAGCCACTACCTGGTGAAACAACCTGGGGAGGGGCGCAAAACTGAGTCAGTCACCAGTAAAAACACCACATTAGGTAGACCTGTGAATAATTTCATCAGGTTGGTGAATGGTTAAGTATCAAAGTTCTTTATTCACAACTACTTGTTTACAAGAGCCAACGTTTCAATGACAGTCTGTCATCTTCATGACTACCAGTCATCATCGCCTGTCAGAACGGTTATCAAAATGTCGGCTCTTATAAAGAAGTGGAGCTGTGCAGGTCTACCTAGCACGTCGGCAGAACATACTGCGCCTGCGCATAACTCTGATTTTTCACGGTTTTCGTTGGATTTTTGGTCAACGTTGCATTAGAATTTTCCCTGTTGCAGAGGATATATTTTCCAACACAACATTTGGAAACTACAGATGGAGTGTTAACCTTATATGCGCAAATACGAGCTTATATGAGACGTTCTGCCAAAGTACTATGTACAATGTATTACGGGTTTCGCGCAGGTGCAGTACGTTCTGCCGACGTGCAGGTCTACCTGCTCCCAGGTTATGCATACTGTGCTTCAAAGGTTGCCCAGTACCAGCACCAGTAGTGCAGGTAGACAGATAAAAAGTATTCCAAGCCATGGTTCATCTCCTCACCCGTCCCTCTGGTCCGGCCGGTTACAGATCCCAGACAGCATCCTGACCATGCACTGCTCGTACCGCTGCAGGGCCGACGGGTCCTTCCCTTTACCGATCGTCTCTGCGTGCATCTTGTACAGACAGGCGAAACCCAGCTCCACTCGCCCACGCACATCCTCCAGGATAAAGTCCTGTACAACTGAGATGAAGGGGAGAAGGCATCATACTGATGTACATGTACCTTCACAGCTTCAAGTCATACAGTTGAGTACTGAATTCTCATTCAGTCAGTCTAAAAGACTATCAATTAAAGTATGGAAAACGGGATGGTATAGTTCCTTTACATATCAAATCAAATTGATTTGAATAGAAGGTCTACAGGTGGCCAGGTGAGCAGTGAGCTATGAAAGGTGATTAAATTCTGCTGGCAAGTTTTGAAAACAGCAACCTTTAGTTACTTATTACTCATTTTCTCCATATTCTCATAACAGAAAGGCTACCATATCACAACGAAGAGAATCCTAGCATAAAATGACACTTTAGAAATGTAATCTAATAGACGAGTACAATGTTTTATCTCCCTAATGAGTGCTGAGATTCCACAAAAACATTGTACATGATGGTAGATGGTATAATGTCTTCATCGTATAAAGTTGAGACTCCAGAAGAGGAAAGTAAAAGTCCTTACTGTCCATGAGGTTGTCCCCAAAGTTCACCACCAGTGAAGACAGAATCTTCATCCTCTCCTGGGAGACTCCTCCTGCGATAGCTGTGCCTGTAGAGGACAACAGACCACAGACGGGGAATCATTCAGACTGTACTACGAAATCCAAACATGTACCAGGCACAAATACTGTCTAAAGTATGAGATTGTCCCAGATGATACTTAGAATGATATAATTTCAAATTCAGCAATTGTAAAAGTTACTCCAACAAATGTCACATGTAGATGGCACTACAAAACTCTTAACTACCAAACACAGGTATCTGTATCTGTATAGCTGGTATAACCACTCTTTGGCTTATCATACCAGCTTTGATAACCCCAGTAGGGTAAGGATGCTTCAAGAAAACTACTAAGAAGACAAGCCATACTCACGCTCTGCATCCAGTATGCGCTTCAGTGCAGCTTTCACCATGCCCTGGTTTTCATCATCAGACAGTGGCTTCAGGGTGTCTGCCAACCGGAAACCCTTGATGCGACGACTCTTTTGTTGCTGGAATACACCATCATACATGTGAAGGGCTGGCCAATGTCCAAGGTTTAACACTTAAAGAAACATACATTGCGCATATCTTTTTCGGAGAGAATCTTCCATCTACATGTATCTAGTTCAGAGAGCCATTAACCTCCTGCAATGGCTGTGCCTGTAGAGGGGAATCCTTCAAATGGACTCTACAACAAGTACTACAAAGTCCCAACAAGTACTGTACAACAAGTACTACAAAGTCCCAACAAGTACTGTACAACAAGTACTACAAAGTCCAAACAAGTACTGTACAACAAGTACTACAAAGTCCCAACAAGTACTGTACAACAAGTACTACAAAGTCCCAACAAGTACTGTACAACAAGTACTACAAAGTCCAAACAAGTACTGTACAACAACAAGTACTACAAAGTCCAAACAAGTACCAGGTACATATACACAATGCTGTAAAATTCTATATTCCTGTTTCTGTAACAGATATACCTGTAGTTGAGGTTGTAGTGGGGCTGGTTTCTTCTTTTCCAGGGCAGTCGTCCCTCCCACGACAGTCTGGATGCTCTGTTTCCCGCGATGTTCTGATCCTTCTTCCTCAACATCTTTCTTGGAACTGGTGGCAGCCTTTTGTGAACAAATTCAAAATCAATGTCACAAACGAAGAAGTTTCTTCACAAAGTGATTAAGATGCTCTACAAGTTTTACTTCTGGCCTGTTTTATAAAAATCTTGGGGATTACAGTCAAGTCTGCCCATGGCCACCAAGGGTGCCGAAGTTAAGTGGTCTTCTTGAACAGGTCACTAAATGGTTGCAAGTACGGAAGAAAATCCAGGAGCAGTTGGTGGCCATTTGGTCAGATTTGACTGTACTTGTTTCTTAAAATTCTTAATCGTTTTGTTTATTGTTGCAAAGTTTAAGCTCAGTTCCAACACAAAAGCCTTCATCAGGTGTATGATGCAATTGCTAACTTTCCGGAAGTTCTTCCCACCACTTTTGATGCACTCCTGGCATCATCACGCTTCTGACTTCCGGAAAGTCAGTAATTGCATCATATGTCTGATGTTGGTTGACGGGTTCAGCCTAAAATATATGGTGAGTTCCCTTTTGTGTTGGAACTGAGCTTAAACTTTGCAACTATGGATTCTACAAACACAGATGAGCTTTCATTCAAATGCAGTGTGCCTCACCTGTTTCTGCATCTCCTCCACCCCCGGCCCGATGCCTGCGGCCGTCATCTGCGCGGCCATGAGCCTGGCCAGGTGGCCCACCTGCTCCTCCGTACCTATATCAGTGGTTTATTTTGTTTATTTGTTTATTTGAATTTACCACAAGATATACAAGTGGAAGGGAGGACAAACAGGTGCATTGACACCTTTACAAGTTGTCCTGACCTCCCAAACACAACATACAGAATATAAAAGCAGATTACATTATTAAATACAAGACAAATCTCAGTATTGAAAAACATTAACATCAAATATTGTACATCAACATCAAGTATAATACATTAAACATAAAAAACTGTACAATGCAATTTCAAGGTATATCATGTAATACATTATCTACAAAAATATCAATAGTTAAAAACTGTGTGGCAACACTAGTGAGGTCGTAATGCCGTGCAGGAGGCGCACCCACACGACCAATACCATTGTCACAAACATTGCAGCCAAAACGCCTGAACTGCGTTGGGACAATTACAATTCAGATAGAGACATGATTAAAACATATTTACATATAACATATGGATTTAAAAAGCTCTACACAGAGTGTCTGTTACTGCGACAAGTTAAAAACTTTTTTCAGCTGCACATGAATCACAATGCCTTACTGTGATTCAAAAGTTCAATCATACCTGCAGACTGGATGGGAGTGTAGGTGGACTGGAACCCCGCCGGCATGGTGTCAGGCAGGGTCACCTGCAGAGGGAGTGTCATGTCAGTATGGGTACGTTTAACATACATCTGGAAGCCTAGTATTTGTACCATCACATTCAACATCATACTCCAAAACACAAACTCTCACCGCAAAAAAATCATTAGCTTCAGTCCCTCTCCTCTCAAAAGGTGTGGAAAACAATGTTCATTTTCAGAATAGTCAGAATAAATTTTTAAAAATGTCAATAGAAAAAAAGTGTCAAAATAGTCTCCAGGATTGTTTGTTTTTCAATGCTGATAGGATTTCATGTCCTTCTAAATTAGTTTCTGTTTCTATGAGTTTCTTTAGTGTGATTTGACAACCAGTCCTTCTCTCCTTTAGACAAAGTGTACAGGGCAGTAACAGTTGGGGGCAGGGTAAGGTGGTGGTACCCACAATACTTTTTATCAACCTCCCATTGCTTGACAAGATTTTTAACAGAGTTGGCAGTTGGAAAGACAAGAGATCAACATACACAAAGCCAGAGCAATCCTTACCATGGACAGCAGCACGATGTTAGCAACGTTGTCATTGCTGAGCAGAGGGATGAGGTACTTTGCGGTGATATCGTTGGCCGTCTGTGTGGTGACTGGAGCCAGCTTGGGAGGAGGCTTCTCCTCTACCTTATCCTCCTCTTCATCCTGGGAGGGGATATCACAGGACGGGTGTATACTTAGTTGTATGTACATAAGTCCCATAACCGTGACGGCCGTAAGGGCATCATGACAGCCAGCAACATGTCTGAACTTGCCATGATGTTTCTATAGGCTTATAATTAGTTACCGGTAGTATACTTAGTTACTTAACTGAAATACCATTTTTACTCCTTTCAACACACTGTAGACTGTGTACTATTAAAGGTTGGATATGGAAGGAAATAAACTATACACAAAAGCAAATCGATTATAGGCAGGTAGAGAAGTGCAAGTTGACAGTGAGAATGAACAGTACCTTGTCATCCTTAGAGCAAGGAGGTAGAGAGAGTAAGGAGAAGAATAGAAACACAAATTAGACTACTAGTAAGTTTGAGAACAGCACAAAGAGGACTGGACTAGCCATTAAAGAACTAATAAAAACAGCTCTATGTAAGCAAGCAGCAACAAGTGTACAGAAGTTTTGAAAAAATTTAATACCTTTTCATCCTTAAGTATACAGGTGCATAGAAGAGAATGGAGAAAGATGGTGAACACAGTAGCCTTTAAACAAAGTGTAAACCCACTAAAAATCACACTGTCATGCTGAAAAGTTTAATGTGCACATTAGTGAGTGATATTCTACCTTGTCATCCTGGTGGTCCCAGTCAACAAGACATGTGAGCAAGACGAGGGAAGTACAACAACAACATTGGATACATGAAAAGTGCTGCAATCTCTCATTCAGTTGAACTACCCCCGGTAAGAGTTAGTAATCAAGCAACATATTGTGAAAAAGACAAACATTATCTAAAGTCTATTTAGCTTGTAGTGTTTTGGAAAACATTTAGAGCTATCAAGAACAGAAGCAAGTTTCAGCAACAAGTAGAGTAGCATGATGAGGCCTTAGCACCAATATTGACAAAGAGAGTACCTGAACTTTGGGCTTTTTCGATGGCTGTGATGTTTCTCCACCCTCAGACCTTAGGAAGGAAAGAAACAACTGTTAGCACTCGGCCAGGCTTCAGAAGTGGCTGGAAAGAGTACAAAATGGTTAAGCAGACCAACTCCCCTGGCTTGTTGTCTCTGGCTAACTTCTACTCTTTCTAGCTGCTTTTGAAGCCTGGTAGAGGCTAGCTGCACATGGCACTGCCTTGCATGCTCTACATTTACTTAGCTTGGTTTACCCTACATGTTATAATTGGATACAAATTTACAGTTGCAACGTTTCTGGACACATTGTCAATCAGAAAAATGTAATGATTATATTCACAATATGTTTTTATACAATATACGGGACATGTAATTCAGCCTTCGGGCTGTGAGGTGTTTCAAATAAAACCCGCATTATTATTATTATTATTATTATTATTATTATTATTATTATTATTAAAAGAAGGCATGAACCCATTCACCAAGTGAACTCACCTTTCTCTTTTCTCAGCTTTGGAGGGCTTGGGGATGATTCTCTGGAGCTGCATTGGGTAGAAATAATACTGAGTTAACATCCAAATACATGTACTGCAATATTAAACACAATCATACAATAAATAACAATGTGCATAGTCTAGTGCTTAAGTTGCTGCTCACCCAACATGCACACAACTGTAAATAAAAGGGTCACAGTCCTGAGGATGGGATATTAAGCTGTGGTCTACTTTTCAGTGTGCATGTCTAAAAGAGCTGAGGGAGTTTTACCTGTACAATGAACCTGTAACTACTGAACAGAGCAGCTTTTCAGTGAGCTAAAACTGGTTTGAGATCACTTTCCTTTCAATAACAGCATAGAAAGGACTCAGATCAAGATGGTTGAACAGATTTCTTCAGACAAAAGGAACACTGGAGGACAGCTTACCTCCTGTTTACATCGTCTACCAGATACCTTTGACCCAGTGTTGACGTCACACTTCAAAGAAGCCACGTGACTAGCCTCACTGAGTCAGTCTACTGAGGAAGACTGGAGTGACTGGTCGAAAGCTCTAGGTGAGAGATCTTTTTGTGTTGGATCGAAAGTTTTAACTTCAAACATGTAACTACCAACACAGATGAACTTTCATGATCTTACCTCCTGCTGCGTGGCCCCCAGATCCAGCAGTAGTGTAGTGATCTGGGAGTGGAACTCTGCAGATGACGGATGCTTCAGCAGGGTCGACAGTTGGAGCTACGGTCAAACAGAAGAACAATTACAGACATCTCTCATCTCAGCTATGCCTTAGAATAATTATTCGGGTCATCACATACACCAATTTTCTCAATCCTTCTTGTTTTCCTATTCTTCTTAATTATGTTTACCGAAGGAAAACATATTGTTTTTGCTACGTTTCCTCTTCTTCTTCTTCTTCTCCAAACAGTGACCTATGACCTGACTGAACGAGACTGTCTCTCACCATGGTTACTGGTGTTGCATTACATAATGTTGCAATTTTATAGCAGGAGGGATTTAGACTCTTGTCTGACCAAATACATGAATGTGTTTGAGGAAGAATTAACAGAGCAGATCATATGCGAAGGTAAACATTATGCATTTGCTTTGCAAATGTTACTTTTCTAGTTAGTAACGTTTCACTTTCTCATTCTCTGCTGTTATCCTCCAGTCTTTTCCATTGCCCTAACCCTTCTTTCTTCCTCCCTGGACTGTTCGTTTTGGCTAGACCTGATGACCGTGACAATTCAGATTCCGTTTCTTTACTGTGGATAGAACTAGGAGGACCTACATCAGGGGTCGAAATAACCCTCTGTGTGCAACTTGGTGCAAGTAAATTTGGTGTCGTGCAACTAATTTTTTGCCTGCTTGCACCATGGTGCAAGTTTGCTTTATCCACTGTTACTACCTGTAGAATTACCCAATAATATTAATTAATAAAGAACTGGAGTGGAAAGGAACAAAACCAGAATCCATGAAGTTTTTCTTCATTTTTTGTAAGTAACAGAAGGTTACTATCTACGTCGCTGCCAGCGGATGTTTCCCATCACTTCTGTATTTTTGGAGGGTGCAACTATTTTTCTTCTGGTGCAAGTATTTTTTTTTTCATTTGCACCAGTGCAAGTTGGCCCCAAAATCTATTTCGACCCCTGTACATGTATGTATGGACCTATGCTTCCTTTGACTCATACCTCCACAATTAAAGACAAGTACATCAAGAATATACATTGTGCCAGTTTCATACATACATGTAACTTAAACTGGTTTTGATAACATGTCTTTAAAAGATGTTATATTTCTCAGGCATCTTGCAGGTTCCACAATTCTTGTAAAAGCTAAGACTCTCACCTTAAGGTTTTTTCTGACACTGCTGACTTGAGACTTTGCAAGAGTTGGAGGCAGGTTCACTGGAAATATGGACAAATGTGAAGTTAACTTACAGTGTATGCTACACTGTACCAGTACATCAAGTAGGGCTATAAGACCATACCATTTTAGATCATTAAAAAAATGGGACTGGCATTTCCAAAAACATCTTGTCTTAGGCCAATATGATTCAAATCCATATGAAAACTTTCTAAAGTACCGGTACTAGTTATACACAGATAGTGCCAATGCCAAAAAATGCCAAATGTGCAATATAAGTACAACTTTACTTCAATTTTTTTTGTCTTTTTCCTCAAACAGACATGTAAAATCTACCTACCATGGAGGGATTCAAACGCCTGCACTACTCTGGCCATATACAGGGGGCGCTGTTTTGCGATGGCGGTCAATGACCCCATACTGGCCATCAGGTTCATACTGTAAAGTACATGTAAAGGTTCATGTGAAAAATGTTATTCTATTCTATTCTATAAATACTGAGCAAAACCCTATCTTGGGCATCTCGCTCAGGGAAGATGTTAAAGGAAACAAATTTACTGTAAATAATATCTAAGTAAATTTAACCAAGCAATTGATAAAGCTTTTCAGAATTTTTCAGAACTTACAAGCCTAACATCACAAAAATAATCATTTCTTTCATACTTCATAGGTTAACAGTCATACAGCAAATAAAAATCTACATAAACTTACACGTATAGATAAACCCAGTACATGGACCAGTGGTGCAGGTAGGCATCAGAAATACCTGCACAGCTCCAGTTTTACCTGCACTAATCTGTGATATTTCAAGCCCTACACAACACGCTTGCGAAGACCATTCTGCAAGGTACCATAGCCAGAGGAAGGAAATGAATGAGGAAGGCCAAAAAAGACCTGGCTAGACAACATCAAGAAGTGGACTGGCCTGAACACAGCACAACTGATCAGGGAGGCCGAGGACAGAACAAGGATCACTGCTGGATGTCGTGATGCCCCCACGACGTCTGAGATCACAGGATGAGAGTGTGAGTGAGTGAGTGAGTGAGTGAGTGAGTGAGTGAGTGAGTGAGTGAGTGAGTGAGTGAGTGAGTGAGTGAGTGAGTGAGTGAGTGAGTGTGTGAGTGAGTGAGTGAGTGCATGAGAATGCTTCAAACTATACTAAGTCCTACCTGGAGATGTGAGCAGAGGCAGTGAAGTCCAGCAGCATGTCCAGGATTTTAGTGCCCTCGTCACGCAGCTCGTTATACCTGATCACAGGGTGGCCCTTCGGTACCTAGGTGAAAAGGAGTCACTCATCAGTGGGACAGGCTGAATAAAATTTCTAACTTCTAAACGGGAACTACACGGCACTGTTAAGAAAATTTGAACTTTACAAAAACTGAAATTTGAATTCTACAAAAACAAGAATACATAACTCCTATAAAGCTACTGACACTTTTGTGCCTATAACATAGTAAGCACAGGTGGCAGAAACAGGTTTTTTTTAGATCTTACCATAAAACAGCCTGCAAGCTTACCTGGTCAAGGGAGATGTCATTCTCTGTCTTCTTGGGAATGTCTGAGTCCTACAGATAACAGCAAAGCTTTTGTGATACAGACACATATAAAGAAGGATATTCAAATTACATGTAATCTAAAACATAAGCCATTATACAGTCACATAGGACCACACTAAATGTTGTCACTGACTTCAGGTGCTAACTTACAGGTGTTCTGGCACTCAGGACGACAATCATCATCTCCAGAAACTTCACCACGTGGGTTCGGACACTGTAGCAGACAAAACAGGAGTTATGATATCATGCAAACAACAACAAACAAGATAACGTCTTCGGATGTTTCGACGTTTTGAGTGACATCCATGACTCAAAACGTCTGGAAATAATCTTCGTAATTTATCCAGAAGTAACGTTTGATTTGCCTTTGAATTTTATACGCTACAATTCACTTCCCTATGCCCTCCTTACCCGTCATTCTCGGAGTCCAACATGACGAGGATGCGGTTCTTCATGGTGACAATCATGTCCCAGGTCGACTCCATCTCTTCTGAGATGGTTCTTACTTTACTCAGCCACTGGACACAAGGACAATAACAAGTCTTTTACATCATGCACAAATTATATAACATTTTGTTTTGCTTTTTTTGTGGACGTTGTCTAAAACTTGTCTTTACCTATCACTTCTTTTTTAATTTTAATTTTTTTGATAAATACCTGACAGGTTTACGTACAGATTCCATTTGTCACTGACTAAAAGTAGTGGATGCTACTTGAAACGTCTGACAGTTTTCGACTCGATCCAGTTGCTTGAGTAACTGTTTTCTTGTGTATCTCGCTACCCGGATGTCTAAACTTCATCAACATATATAACATGTGCATATAGTACAGGTAAGAACAGCAGTTAAGTCCAGTATCATCAGAACAGTCTACATAGCATTTTCAGGCTGGATTTTGAAACTGAAAAATAGCTTACCGACAGCCCAACTCTGTATATCTGTGTTGTGGACAGGATGACCTTCTTCACCACATTCACGTTCTCATCCTCCAGTAGCATGTTGAGATTGGCCACGACTTTAGTCAGCAGCTCTGGGTCCTGTTTACTGTGGGGAGAAACAGGAGAGAACATTATAATCATTCAGTATAAAATCCTGTACAGCAAATCTGGGAATTACTGTAACTATGTACTATGTACTAGTCAACCATGGCCCATAATGCATCTTTAATTTATAGGTTGAACATTTTCAGTACTCCAGTGTTGTTTTTTCTACCTTTCTTAATGTTTTTCAGTGAACAAGATATTATCATGTACAACCTGTCATAATGATACTGTAAAGAAAACTAATAAAGCTTTTTTTTATCATGCCAAAATAGTCTACTTAGTGTGTGCTAATAAAATGGCTAATGTGGTCAGGCCAATATTTGCATGTTGAAGATTAACCGACATACTGAGCAGAACTGAAGGAACACAAAAAGGTCATATATAACACTATATATATATAATAACAGCTTTCTTTTTCCTCTACTCACCAGGCTTCCTCTATGAACCCGACCACAAACTTGCGGACATCGGCCGACTTGTCCTGCTGGAAAGCCAGCATTTCCTGTGGGTAACAAACAGTCTGTCAACCACATGTCATGACACTGGGAACAAGTTGATAGTCACTGTCTCCTGTACAGAGCTGTTAGATGATAGAGCTTGGAAGTTTTGTCTTATGAAAGATTTGAGCTTACAGCTTTTTCCCTTACATTTCATTGCACTGCATGCATAACGCACTATTGCAGGGATCTAATTCCACAATAAAAGAGAGGAGTTAATTCCTCATTGACCGTCCTCATCAAGGTACGATGGACAAACAGGAGGGGAAAGAAGATGGTGTCTTGAGTTTCTGGACTTGCAATGTGATAAGTTAACAACTTCATTTCATGTTTTTTTACTTATTTTTCCAGGAGTATCACACATATATATATTAGGGCAAAACCCTGTCAGAGAGCTGTTCGAGAGGTCACGGCAAAAACCATGAACACAAAACCACTGCAAATACTTGATCTACAGTATGGTTTGGTTTGTTATGACATCAACTATATCACAGCAGTGATATAGTTGAAGCTCGAAGGCTAATGATGAAGCGATATTACAGAAATTGACTGCGAAATATCAAAAACTACACAAGTTAAAATCAAAAGCAATATTTACAGTCAGCAATTACTCAATTCGTGTTGTACACAACAATTCGGTTACAGTATAAAATCATTAATCAGTTTAAAAAGGACTCACATCTAGGAAGTTATCCAGCAGTGCAGGGTCCTTCTGTACGATCAGCTCCTGAACCTGCTTCAGCGTGTTGATCTTCTGTACATCCTTGGGCATGAGGGAGGCCTGGTTCAGCAGGTCAACCACCTGGGGGAGGGAACAAGTAACTTTTTATCGAGGAATTATCATATCATAATATGGCAACGTAATGTTGACTTTTGCATATTAGAAATTCCTCCAATGATTGTAAACTTTGATAGTTTGAAACTTCATTCAGAATGACCATTAGCGGTGGTCCATGTCTTCCTGGCATTCATTCACAAATATACATACAATACAAATACATACGACACAATACACAATTTATCTTACAGAGTTAGAAATATACAATTATCTAAAAACAGGCAAACAATCCTATTGTAAAAGTTCATACCTATCCCATGCTAGCCACCCACTCTTTCATTAGTTAAGGTTATCCTTATGAACTATAACCGTTACATTAACTTATAGTTCACATTATATGTACTAGTAGTAGTCGTTGATGCCATACATAATTTGTACCCTGTACAATTGTTACGCAATAAAGTTATCATGTAAGAGGGTCTGCATGCCCTTTTTCGTTAACCGTTATGGGCTATCTTAATTCACCGTTAATCGTTGCCGGCCCGCTCTAATTCAACGTTAAGCGTTATCAGTATATTGATCGTGAAGCGTTATTGGTCGTTTTAATTCAACGTAAAACGTTATTTGTCATCCTAAATTCAGCGTTAAGCGTTAATGAATAATTCTTCGTTACGCCTAATTTTGCCTTTCAAAGTGCAGGAAAATGCGTCATTGAAGGTTTGAAAATCCTAAATTTCCCGGGGGAGAATGCCCCCGGACCCCCCTACATTGCTCGCGCCTTTGGCGCTCGGCTCACTTGATATCTTGAGTAAAAATATGAAAGCATCAGAAGGACAGACAGACACTCCCAACACCATAATTTGCCTCTAAAAATGCGGGAAATTGCGTTTTTGAAGGCTTGAAAATCCTAAATTTCCCTGACCCCCTCAGATTGCCAGCCTCTCAAAATCCATCGGTAAGACTGTGCGAACGGGCAAAAGTCAAGCTGGGAAGAGCCCTGGCCGACTCGGACTCCCTTTTATTTGTGGACGCACTCCGGGACCAGGGCATGTGGGAAACACAGGGAACACATACCTTTAATGCGTGCTTCATTACATGTAAGGTATACGTAATGTTGTCAGTGATCACCTTTTCTCACAAAGCGAGGATACCAAGTCCAGTGCTAGTGCAGCTCGAAAAAAAAAAAGCCTATCAATTTACCGTTAAGCGTTGCTGACCGTCCTGAATTTACCGTTAAGCGTTATCGGTCCTGCTGATTTTACCGTTAACCGTTGCCAGGACCCCCCCATGCAGACCCTCATGTAAGTAACACACTTTAAAGATAGCATAATGCTACGTGGTTATCAGGAGTACATCTCGGCAAAAATCTGACGTACAGATAATTTATTCAAAACTTGCACCACTTTGTGGTCTGTGGCATCAAGGCAAGTGTGACTGCAGCAAAATATATGAGGAATTTTATAAGATATAGTTTTTTTCAGCAGCATCATAGTTTTTTTTCACATGTTGCATAACTCTACTACCTTCCAGATATACAAACTGGGCGTGGTTTATTTCACCAGCAGTACATATAGAGTCTTATATACGGCAAAATAATATATAACTTTATGTATGGCGTTACATAACGTTGTTACAGATCATGAAGAAAATCTTGAACCGGTAGGAGCTTACCTTATCCGAGGTTGATACAGCTTCAACAGGACCTGCTTCGTCCTCCAGAAAGAACTGAGAGGCAATGGAGAGGCGACTGTCCGCGGCCATCGTGAATAAATCCTCCTAATTTTAACCGGTCCTCGGGAATGATATGATTTTGAGTCGATTCTTCAGAAACGCACGAAATTTCTAACTACACGCCGCCATGTTTGATGTGGCCCACAATGCAGCGTGCACGTCGGCTGCTCAAAAACGCCGTCTTGCGACGCTCGTCATAAACGCAGAACAGACGAGACTTCCAAGGTTTCAGTTTCGAAATCATGAAAGATGGATTACTTTTTCATGGTGATGTATTTTCAAGAGGCTACGTTTCTTCGCTTTTTCGTCTTAAGAAAGCATAGACAATTTACCTAATTTGAAAGTAGTGAAGGAAATTGAGTTGTAATTTTCAAAAACCACAAAAATACCCATTATTTGTTTTGACCAAAAACACAAAATTTCAGGACATGCCCAGAAAACTGGCACAAGCCACTTGCAATCCACACCCTTTTATAGTGCCATTTCAATATCATGTTGTGTCTCTACAACTCATGGGCAACGACTTTAATCTTAAAATCAATGCCAAGCAACAGTTTGGTATTTAGCCTTGCCACTGAAGTTGCTGGGAAACCAATTAACATTAACCTTTGATATGCCCTTTTCATTATACCTTAAAGGGCCCTTAAAGGAAAAGAAAAATGCCAGCCCATTCGAGACATGCCACATGTTGCCCTGATGACGCACATAAAGGTGCTTTTTCAAGACTTAATCGATTCGGTAACCTAGGCAACTAAACCTGGAAATTAAATGATTTAAACAAGCCTTTTATTAGTCTGGGCAGGGTCCAAATTACAATTTTTCAGCTGTTTCACTGAGAACAGGAGTGGGGGAAACGCTAACAGGTCTCGAAAAATGTTCACACTTTCTCCAAACATACATGTTCGTACATATATAAACAGTGTTACATCTTAATCTCCAAGCAGATCCCTATCAGTGGCAAAAGACAGTATCCATTAGCCATAGGAGTTTAGCTCGCCACTGACAGCTATGATGGCTAAACTCCTATGGCTAATGGAAACTGTCTTTTGCCACCGATAAGGATCTGCTTGGAGATTATTCCATCTTACCATTTCATTTTGTCTGGATGTCAAAACAGTTCTTCTAGAATCAATTGATCACATATCAATGACACTCGCGATAGCATAATTTTACAACAAACAAGCATACATGTATGTCAGACATTAATGGACTTCAACTAGACAAATGAGATTAAAAGCTGGGAAAGGTGCTTTTATTGCATGAGCAAATTCAACAGGCAAATTTCAAAATATGGCACAGAGTTGACACAGCCCATTTGCCTGGGCTGAGTCTGGGCTATCACATAGCCATAGGTAGAGCTGTGTACCGGTACGCAGTACCGATACTGTACCGGAAAAATTGATTAGGTACAGGTCCAAAATACCTAATCCCTCAGTACCGGTACTGTACCTAAACAATTTCACACCAATTTTATGCCTATTTGTGACCTCAAATGTTTAAATAGCTGGTTAACAATGGGTGCCTGTGTAAGGACAGTGTGTTCATGAAAACAAAAACATCTTAGTTTTGCCTGTATTTTATCTGAGCATTCGCCATAAACAAAGAATAAACCTTAACTATCAAGTTTATTTATGTTTATTGAAGGAGTTCAGAAGAG